TGCGACCCTCACCCTGGACATCTCAGGCTTGGTGAGGGGCCTGGCTCTGCAAAGCAGTAAGCTAGAACCAGGCAGAGAGGAAACAGAGAAAGGGCAGGCGAAAGAGCTGGAAAGCCAGAGAGGGGAGTTATGGGGTCTCTTGAAACTCACTTCCCAGGTCCTTTGCTCTGAGCCATAGGGTGGTCTCAAGGAGAATCCAGAAAATAGACGTACAGGGGAAAGCACGGTGCAGCGCATGGTCAACGTGATTGTTGGAGACAGGAAGACATGGCTGACCCACCCTAGTTCCCTGGTTTTACAAAAGGTTGGAATGTGTTTGTAGGTGGTAAAGAGGTACATAAGCTCTAAGCTAATAGATGTATAAAATGTCCCTGCTGGGATTATGTCTGTTCTATATAATCATCTTTTGACACCTCTACCACCTAGTATATTTTAGGCTTTCAAATTAATGAAGTGCTCTTGGACTTCCACATAAAAGGAGTTAATTCTCATCAAATGATGGTGCATCAGGAATGACTGGAGTCAAGATCAGGCCCAGCTCTTGCCTTCGTGGGCTGAGCGATCTTGGGTGAACCTCTTAATTACATTATACCCATTTCTTCATCTGGCAAGATGGAATTGGCCATCTCCCTCATCCCCATCCCCCCTCATATTCATACCCCCTCACTCCCTTTCTCCTGCCAGGATATACATAAATATAAAACTAAACAAGAATCAAGATGAGAAAGCACTCTGTGCCTCTTGGAGGGAAAGCACAGCGGAGACCCAGGGCATGTGCCTGCATGAGGCAGGGCAACTGGGCTCTGCTGATTCACAGGGTGCAGGATTCCACCAGCCTGTGCCTCAGCCTCCCCATCAAGAAGAAGGGCCAACGACACCTGTTTCACCCTTATCTCTGAGTTGTCCTACCAGTACTTGGGAATTCTAAATAATGTAATAGACCAAAACAGACCTGAATTATGTCCTGCAAAACAGACTTACTTTCAGAAATGACTTAAGAACTGTCCTATTTCACACTAAATGCTAACCATATATTCTTTTGTTCCAAAAGCTCTCTAATATGAAGTAGACTTACTGCAAAATCTGAACACACTTTGTAATAATAAGTTTACAGCCAGCATATCTGCAGATCCTTCCAGAATGGAATGTCAAAGTTGGTGACTCTGGCAAGGAGCAACATTCGATCATAAAGTCATGGAGGAAGGCAGGAGCAGACGTGAGAAACACCGTGGGGAGGGAATTGCTCATGTGCCATCCATCCTCCCTCCCTCCCTCCCTCCTGCACTGCCCACTCCCTAAGCCCTCCATATCCTGTGTCCCAGACCTCTACCCTTTCTAGTTCCCCTTTAGGGCATACAGCAAGGGTATTATTTTTTATCAGAAGTATTTACTTTTTCCATTCGTAGGAGATCCCAAAAGGTAAATCTCTACTGTGAAAGCTTGACAGGGTGGGACAAGAATTTAGGTTCTTCTCCAGTGCACAAGTAGATGCTAGCCACTCAGTGAAGTCCAGGCCTGAAAGAAGGCCCTTCCACCACAGGAGGAAATATGGCTGCTTGATGGGCTGTTCCCCCCAGCACCTTCAATAGGATGAGCTCTGTATCAAAAAAACCTTGAAACACTTGAAGAAAGAAGAGGGTATTCAGAGTAGTGAAGACTGAACCTAACTATTATGAGAAATGACTAGAAATCTTGGGAGGCTCAACCCCCAAAAGAGATTTTAATTCAACACACATTTATGGCGGCCTATTTATGTATGTGCAGAATTTTGTGGCACATGTTGGGGAAAGGAGCCTGCAAGATGACCAGGAGGAGACAAAGTAGCTGTTATCATGTAAATGTTCCAAGCGCTCTAAGGTAGAAGAGGGGGAGCACCCAGAGAGGGAGGAGGGAGCTGGCATTGAAGGAGCATTTTGTATGTCAGGAACTTTACGTGTAGTGTGTATGGAATGTGCAGTTTGAAAGCACCAGGCCGCGAGCCCACATCCAAGGGCCTGAGCAGTCCGCTGTCCTCTGCTGCCACCTCACACCTGTCCACCCTCTTTGAGCAGTCTTTTTTTGCTTTAGAAAAGTAAGGACATTGGTTTTGGGGCACAACTAATGGTCTGGTCTCATCAGATGCCCACTAGCTAAACTCACATGCCTGCAAGTAAATGAGAGCTAACTCATTGCTCCAATCTATGGAAATGTTAAAGCAGAGGGAGTCTGATTTACCATCCGTCAAGGACACTGCAGAAGGGATTCCAGCAATGGTTGGGACACGTGTGGAAAGTGCAGTCTCTAGAATTAGGGAGAATCCCAGTTCCTGTTTTGGCCAGTTATATCATCTCTTTCAGACCTCATTTCTCCAACTGCTCATGGGTGATAATAAAGCCTTCCTAATGCAGCTATGGTAAGGGCTACGGAGTGTATGTAAAGAAGCTAACATATATAAGTACTTAATACACGCACCTGCCTTTGCAGCTCAAGGCTTCTAAACCAGTTCTCTGTGACAGGGAGGTGCACTGCAAACCCCCCTTACACTAGCTAATGTGCAAAGGCCTGCCTATCCCCATGTGTAGGCCAAATTTGAGCTGGTTCTTTGGCTTATCAGCTAATTACACAATGTTAGTTGTAGTTTACAAATAATTTTCCTGGACCCTCTCTTCTTTTCATGCTACCAGCAGGCCTTATACGTCATTTATACTACAGTGTGAATGAGTTTGAGATGCTTTCCCTAAGAGCAGGTTTTGAGAGGAGGGAAATCTGATGGCACCAGACTCCCAGTTGGGTCTAGGGGGAAAACCAACTTCACAAATCTGAAGTCCTGCATGTTTTCTGCCATCTTTTTAAAGTGGTCCCTTCTCCCAATGCCTTATCAACATGCAAAATTTTTACTAGAGAAAGCAAGGTGAAATGTACATTTCCTAGTAAAGCAGAAAAAATTACCTTGGATAACCTTTGAGCAAAACCATGTGGTTAAAAATTATGTTTATGCAGAAACTTCTTGCCTAAACATCCCCACAAGCCTCAGCAAAATTGAAGATTATAATTACAATTATAGATTCCATCAGAATTTGCTTTAGAAAATAAATATACAGTGTAGATAGAAATGAAACCTTTCAGGAAATGATTGGAGTTAGCCAGAAGATACAAAGTTTAATATTTCAACATACAATATTAAGACATTTCTTTAGCTCCCACTTTGAATAGTAGGGGAAGACATGCTACTACTTGCATGAGTGGAATAATGAATGGATGAAAACAACTTTCACTTAACTCGGAAGGAATGGAATTATGAAACAGTTTCTTGTTAAGAAATAAAGAGGGTTTTAACTTTTTCAGTTGCAAAAGGGATGTTTAGCTCACTTCCTCCTTTGTGTTTTCTGCAGAGAACTAAGAATTGCAACTCATTTTTATTCACTTCTCTGTACCACACGTCACTGTGGGGCTGAAGTCAGTATGTGGTGAAAACCACTGCCCTCTTTGGGACCAAATTGTCAAGTAATGTGACCCAAGGGTTTTTTCATATTGCTGAGGGCAATTTTCCAGAAAGCAGTGAATGTAATCGGAGGAATCATGGGCTTTTATTTCTCTTTTTTCTGAACTGCCCCTCCCAGCCATCCGCCTGGCCCCGTGGGTGAGGACGATCAAGAAGGAGTGCAAACACTTGTTCACAATGCCTTGGAAATACTTGAGTGAAGCAGTTAAAAAGAGGTTTTCAGATACGGAAAAACTTATGGCTCTTTCTCACTTTACACTAGGTGTGTTTTTTGAGTTTACAGTCATATCTCAATTTTGGCTTATTCTCCTAAATTATTATGTATTTATGCGAAGCAAAGAACTTTAAAAAATATATAACTGAACATAAAACATTAGTTTCAGTTGTACAACGTAATTATTTGATATTTATATATGTTGCAAAATGATCACCACAATAAGTCTAGTTAACATGCATCACCATATATAGTTAAAAAACTTTTTTCTTCTGATGAAAACTTTTAGGATCTATTCTCTTAGCAACATTCAGATACGTAATACAGTATTATTAATGCAGTTACCATGCAGTGCATTATAAAAGCCCTTTTAATGTACAGAGTTTATGGATAATTCTCTATAACCTTAAGAAAAATCAAATTGTTAATACCTGAAGTAGGGAATCATTGAGAAATTAAAATCAGTAGTTGTTACACATGAGAATAGTCAGGCATTTAATTTTCTATTTGCAAATGATCTGCCTCCAGTTAAAAACTCAGGATCTAGACAGTACTGGAACAGGAAACAAGATGAAAGCCTGGAGTCCATCCATTTAACTAAATTTTCCAGTCCTTTATTAACAGCTGTCCAAAGCTCCGAGATTTTGTGAGGTTCTTTGAAAGGAAAATCTTTGAGATGTTCTTAGAATCAGTCCTTCCTTTATATATAGAAGGTCTCGTAACTGTCTCATCAAAGATATTTAGAGATTAGTTTAGGTAAACATGAGGCAAAAATTATACAAAACCGAAGCCAGATGATTGCACAGTACACTATTTCTACCTAGCGCACTTTATAATTTCTTAAAAGTCAAGCGATCTAACAACACAATCTTTGCCAAGCACTTGTAATAAAGCTGTGTCTTGCCATCTACATTTATTGATTGTATCAATCCTTATTTCAAATGACTGAGTCACTTCAGCAAGCAGGTTGTAAATCAATTAATCAATGAGAAAAATTTTTAATGGCCAATTTTAATCCCAAAGCTGTCTCAGAGTCTGAGTAAATCTCTGAAATGAAGAAAGTAGTTCACTCCTCGTCTTCCACCCCCATCAACTCATGTGGCTAAATGGAAGTGAATAAGTGGAAACCTAATATTGTGGCCACTAAGTAGCCAAACAGCCTGGAAGTAACTTGCTGTTTCCTGGAGGAGATGGATCTAATGATGAACTTAAAAGAAAACAAACGAAAAGCAATCTCTTCACCAGCAGGTAGGTAGAAAGGGAGGCATTACTGGATCAGAATTCAGGAAATCAGGAAATACTTACAAGCATTATAAATGTGCCCAAGAACTCAGAGAGTGTTTCTTTAGCTAAGCTGCTCTTCAAGACCAGTCTCTGCTTGAAGCTTCTCCTCTTTTGTCCCTTCTCAGGATGCATCTTGGGGCTTCTCCAAGGACCACTCTTTCCACCAATATCTGCTTCTTCTGGTCCCTGCTTCACTCCCAAATGAAAATGGAAGTTTTGACAAATGCTCACAGATTCCTGGTGATGTCTGGTGAGACTCTCTGACGGTACAAATGCTGTACCAATTAGAGACTGTGACTTAATCCACTTCTGGTGAAATTGTCATCTCCTGTTCAGTGCTGTTTATTTGAATTAGCGAGCTACAACTTGAAATTCACAAACGATCCTTCTTGTGCCTGATAGATTAATCATTACCTTTTATTCTCAAGGTATTTTTTTTTTCTGTTGGCTTAGGTTTTTTTTCTCCAAAAGATGAGAAAAGAGATGTTGTGCACGCTGTGTTGCCAAACCACAGTGATGGGCTCCAGTCCAGGAGAGATTTACATATTACACAATTGCAGGCTTCTTATTTTTTTCCCCCTATTTAGAAGTGGGTGGTTGGGGCGTAGTTTGGGATTGTCAAGTCAGGTGTATATACATACATCCAGTATAAACATTCTTTTCTGAAGGAGCTTTTCATGTAAGAAATTAGACATGTGTTGTTCTGCAAGATTAATCACTCTTGTTTTCTTGCAGTATAATTTCAGTGATTAATGACACGTCCTTGAGGGTGGTTAGAACCCCCAGTCCACTCCGGAGATGCAGAAGTTAACAGATCACTGCACGTTTCCTACGGCAAGTCTGTAGGACAGGATGGGATCTGCTCCCCAGTTACCATAGCAGGGCTTCATCTGCTGAGGACAGCTTGGGATCCAAGAACCAGAAAGAGGGAGAAGACAGACTGAGTTTTTCTGAAGAAGGAGCCAATTTGAAAACCAAGTCACACCCCTTTATTTACCATGTAATATTTAAGCAAAATACAGAGAAAATAAATAATAGCAGCTTGAAACTCCATATTGCTTGGAGATCACTGAGCCAGAAAGAGATGAGTCTGAGTAGATGCCATCCCAATGAGACGGGAAACACGTAAATATACCTAAACGAGGCTCCTAGGTTATACCATTTAAGTTTGATGAGTAAACATTCTTGTAGGCAACAAAGTTTAGGACTAGCTTCTTGTCATGTCAAATACTCCAGCCCTGTTTTTTCAAAACTGTTTTTCAAAACCAGTTTGTCTGAAGAAATAGAATCCAGCAGTTGTTTCTGAACTCTAAGGCGGTCCCATGGAATTAGTACCCACGCTTTGTGCTTCCTCCCATCCCTCCCACAGGGAAGCCGGCTATGTTTCAGGCCCTCCCTTATCTTTGCAGGAGGCCCACAGTCATTTCCAGCTCAGGAGGCAGGCAGAAAGGGAGGGAACAGAGGTCTGGAGAAAACAGCTGTTAAGAGTCTAAGAACAGAAGGAGACACCTAATCTGTGGGTGAAATACAGAGTTTAGGCCTAAAGAAATTACCCTGCCTGAGGATATACCATTGTAGAGCCAGGACAAGTATACAGCATTTGGGTTTAACTCCTGGTGAAGTTATTGATACTATCATCTAAAAGAATTACTTATGACCATGCTATTCCCTTGTTCCAGTGGATGGACCAGAGAAACAGGACTTGATTGCCGTGGCTACAACCAATGCCACACAAGGGTGTCCTCTGGTCTCTGCACTCACTCATCTCACAAATATTTATGGCATACTCATTCCTTGCCAAGCACTTAGCAAAACACACAGGGCTCATGCCCTTTACGGAGCTTAGAGTCTAGTGAGGGAGACAGACATAAGTGCAATAATCATACACACAGAAATATGAAATCACAACTGAGATATATGTTCTAAAGATGGGGGACATATTTCTATGAGTGAATATAAGGGGGATTTCACCTCATCAGAGAGATCTCTGATGGCTTCCCAAGAAAATCATGGCTGAGCTGAGCTCAGAAGTCAGGGTAGAACTTAACCACATGAAGTAGGGAAGGAAGTGCATGTACAATGGTCTTGGGGGTGGAGGCAGGGACCAGTATGATGCCTGTCCAAAAATGAAAGAAACCCACTACGGAGGGCTCCCAGGAACACAAAGCAAAATGAACCTGGAGCCATGCACAAAGATCAGACCATACTGAGCCTTGTTAATCATGTTTAAGGCTAAAAGCAATAGCAAGTCACTGAGGTGGTTTAAGCAGGAACACAACACTATTAGATTCAAGTTTTTAAAAGATCATCCTGGCTGTGATGTGGAGGGGGAATTGGAGGGTGCCTGCAGTGAGCATATGTAGACCCACTGGGAGATATTACAGACTTCCAGGACTGCGTGGTGCCTTTGACAATGGAGAAAAATGGAAGGATTCAAGAGTTCTCCATATCTTAAAATTGGAAGGACTTGGCAGATTGGATATAGAAGATGAGGAAAGGGGACTCATCGAGGTTGATTGCTGGGTTCCTGGCTTTCTGGGGAAGAAGGTGCTAAGCACTGGCAGAGGAAACACTGACCCAGGACAGGATACCAGGGAAGACCATAAATTCTGCTATTGCAGGTTGAGCCTCAGGAGCTCTCTGGTGTTTCTGAAAGATGTCAAGCAGGAAATGACATGGGTCTGGATTCAGAAAGGTCTATGTGCTCATAGAGGTGATAATTGAAGCCATGAATTTAAATGAGGTCACCTAGGAGAACAGTTTTAAGAAAGCAGAGGCTGAGTTTGTGAAACTGAATATTTCTACTCAGAGGAGAATGAAATCTTTATTATTTCTTTTATTCTACCTTTAAGTGACAGTCACATTCTTCATCTCCACTACAACAAGCAACATATCACACATAACTCACTCACATCTCCTTTGTAAAGCACCCTCACACCAAAGTTCCTCCTGGAAATATGAGGCTGCTTAGCTTCATTCATTCATCCATCCATAAAAAGACTTTCATTGAGTATTTACCATGTGTCAGGCCCAGCATTAAGCAGTGGGGATTCAAAAATGAGGAAGACAGATCTCTATTGCTAAGGAATTATGTAGTCTAAGTCACAAAGACCTCAAAATGAATACATCATGTAGTAAAATAGAAGTATATGCAAAGTACTGAATCAAAATTCCAGCTATTGCCGCATGGATATCTGAGATGTCATTATATATTGTCAACATATTGACTCATGCTGCCACCAGAAGTTCTAAAATGGTGTTCCCCTGAAGGCAGAGTCGTGCGAATCTCCAGGGCTAGCCTACCCAGCTCTTCTTATTCCCCTTGACTCTGTCCCACCCTGACCCCAACATTCTCTTCTTCTCTATCTGGTTTAACCTTGAGTAACAAACTTCACCTCCACACAAGGGTGTCAAAACACCTGGCATTCATGAGGATGACCGTCTTGTCCTCTGACCTCACTTCCCCAACCTCCTCTACTTTGACCAACTTTATTTCCACTCCAGATCAGAAGCCCCTTTGATGGCAACTTTTGGGTCCATCACCACCTCCTCGTTTACATCAAGACGTGTGTCACTGACTGAAACTTCAAGTTCTCGAATTTCACCCACTCTCTGACTTTAACAAACTTGCCTCACTTCCTCCTCATAAATTCTAGTTCCTCAGCTTCTCCCTCTCGGTTCTTACTCAGCACATCACTCAAGTTACTGATACGCTTGCTAGCATCTCAGCTTCCACTGAACCACTGACTTTCTTCTACACCCACACTGCCAAAGTCCAACTCTGAGTATACTTTTCTCAAATATACTAAAAATATCGAGTATTTACATATACTCACATTTTATATTTTTATTCATATATACTTTATATTGTATATTATATATATCTTATATTTATATTGAAATCTACTCTAAAAATATAATCACATTTTCCCAAAAGTACTCTCAAATTCAAGAGTACTTCTCAAGATACTCTCTTCCCAGGCTGTTGAATGAAGCTGGAGAAAAATAATATAAATGTATTGATTGGCCTTATTTCAGACCATTGTGATCTAGCATGAGCAGTGGCCCCATATCCTTAGTTAACTTTTATTTCAAAGGGTCCAGATTTTAGTGTGCATTAGGTCAGTCACCTTCAGGGATTATGATTTGGTAGATCTGGGATGGAGCTCAGGAATCGCACAAGCATGCCTGATAATTCAGATACCATGCCCTATTTCATTTTATGCAGCAGCAATATACCTCTTTTATGCCCTTCCAGATCCCAGTTCCAACTCTCCTAACTCAGCAAAAAAATTCCCCGAAGTATTTTGCTTTTAATTTTCCCACTCTTGATACACTTTTTGATGTCTTTCAGGTATAATAGGTTGATGCTCATTATTCTTTTCAAATATTTATTAGCCAGATGAACTTGAGAATCATTTTTAAGTTCCATCTCCTCCAACTATAATGGAAAAGCATTAACTTTATTGGTAAAGTTATAATTCTTACTTTTCCCATTCAGAAGTATAATTTCCATCTCTCCATTTATTCAAGTGTTTTTATGTTCTCAAGTGAAGTTACATTGTTCTCTCCATTGGATCTCGAAAATTCTTAAGTTTATTTCTAGGCATTTGATATATAGTTGTATTCATTTTTTGGAGTTAGGATAAGATCTCCTTTTTTATTCTAATTTCTAACTGACCATTACAAACAAAACTCTATTTCTGTGTATCTTGTATCTGCCCATCTTAATGAATTCTCTTATGGTTTCAAATAAGTTTCTAGTTGATATTGTAGTGAACAATGTTAGTTACTTACTTGTCATCTACTAAACACTCTTTCTAGAAGTACCAGTTTTTATTTGAATATCCAGCTTTTTCTATGCAACTAGAGGTAATGGGTGGAGGGCTGATTATGCCCAGGTTTAGGAGTAAACAGAGCTAAGTCAAAGCCTATCAGAATCATTTCCATACCTTTGAAACCCTGCCTGTGTCAGGAATAGTGATATGATTCGATTTGGGCTAATGACATTTGTGAAGAAGCTTCTTAGGGCTTTGGAAAGGAGTTCTTCAGTTCCCTGGAAACTATAAGATTCCAGTTCTCTGTCATACCCAGAAATGAACAAAGGAGCGTATAGCCCCAACTATTATAGACACCCATCCTATAGCCTTGGGGGAAACTAGCCTTCCAGTTAAGTTGACACTGAGACTAGCAGGACATGAAGACAAGATATACCTGAGTCCTTGTTAATGTCACTGCATTATTGGATCAATGACCCCCGAGGGCCACTCCATCTCTAGGCTTGCAGTTATGTAAACCAGTAATATTTCATATTTTCAAAGGCAGTTTGAATGGGATTTCTGTTAATTTCAACACTAAAAAGCCCTAACTTGTTTGGCATTCTTAGAC